AGTCCTCCGAGGAAACAAAGTCAATGAGCCTTTCTACGACCGCAGTTGCCCCGATCACATTGGTGACACTCCTTTGATGCAGTTCTTATTGAGCCCATGGCTTCAAACCATCAAGGAAGCTGAACAGCTTATTCTTCTTGGACATGTCCTATATGTCCAGCATTAGTGTAGAAAATTACTTCGCATAGTCTCGAATGGAAGTGCTTTGGCGGAATTGTCTCAGTTTCCTCCTTGTGATGAACTCTGTGTTCTTAGGTAGGAACTGAGCTCTCAACTCCCACTTCAAGTCCTCCCATGTGTCCACCCGACACCGACCTTGTTGGATTTCCTTCCAACGGGTTCGCCACTAAAGTTTTACATCCCCATTCAAATACATGGTTGCTATCAAAGCTTTGGTTTCTTCAAAATCAGGCCTCGTAGCTCGAAAGTATTATTCCATGTCGAACAAGAAATTCTCAAGCTCTTTAGCATCTCTAGCACCCCCATAATAATGCGGCTCGGGTGCTCTCAAGTTTTGTGACGGCGCAACGCGGGTGTTGCTTCTTCTTGCATTCAGTGCCCTTATGAGCATGGTCACCCTGGAAGTGAGTTCCGCCATGACTTCGTGCAGATATTGCATGGAGTCTTTGGTGTCATTTGATAGTCAATTGACTAGGGCCTCAATCTTCTCGATCCAGGATTCAACTTCTTCTTGCGAGCTTTCTACCCTATGAAGCCTTCGTTGGTCATGGTAAAGTTCCTCCAAGATCGCTTCAAGAACATCCAAGTGGGTTTCTACCACTGTAAGTCTCTCCTTATGGCTCTTTTTTCCAGTTGGTGCTTCATATTGGGCCTCTTCTGCTCGCGGAGAGTAGCCAACTTCTCGCTCATCATGTTCGTTGTCGCGCTCCTCCAACAACATAAGAGCGAGTATGCACTTGCAGCCCACCTGCAGCTGCTTGGGGTAAGGGTCTGGCTTGCCCCGTCTTGCTTGATTCGTCATGATGCTTTGCCATGGTGAGATTGTGAAGTTTCTTCGCTACTTGCTTGAATTGATTGCCCGCTCTGATACCACAATGTCATGGACTTAACTGGAATTGCCTAAGTCGTGAGGCACCCTTGCGACAAAGACGCGAACTTAGCTTAAGTTGCTTAAGTCGCGAAGCACCCTCGCACCAACTTCTCGGACTTAGCTGGGATTGCCTAAGTCATGACGTGCTCTTGCGATATGTGTCTGCAAAGGGTCAACCAATTTACAATCTCATTCAGGTCCCGAAGGACCTGTAAAAGAGAAAGTTGATTAGTTTAAAAACGAATAGACGTCTCGCGGAAAGGGGAAGCTTTATAAGCAATTCAGCGAGCACCTCGCATGCATAAGAGAAAAGAGGGGAAGGAGGAAAATAAAGACTTTATAAGGTATAACAAATAGTTGCAAGCCCATAAACAACTGCTCACTAGGCCCCGGGCGTGAAGGCAAGTTCCCGTCAAGTTAACGTACGAACTTATGAAGATTTTTCAACACCCAACAATATACCGAAGCCCAATCGAGCCTTGTACCACCCGGGGGATTCCAGGGTGTTGAGATGGTTGGCATTTTAGTGTGTTACTACAGCTTGCAGAAAAATTACTGTGGCACCCGAAAACGGAGTCATTTTGGGGTAGTTCAGCCCGACGTGGTGAGCGGTCGTACTACAGCATTGCAACCTATTCGAATATGTATTTTTACAAGTAAAAACACATAAAACCAAGGTAAAATAGACTGTCATGTATATGTACAAGCATACAAAAGCAACGAACGGTTCGTTGAACGAAGTTATTGTAAATGCACGATGACTATTTGTGATAGAGTGACGGAACAACACGCGGGTAGTACCTTTGTATAGCCGACTACCATGCCATAAAAATAAGGGTCGTACCTGCACAAAGCTAACTACTGTGGCAAGGATAAAAAGATAAGTTTATAATATGATAAAAATACAGAAAATAAAATATTAGATCAAATTCTCCAACCCAAATTAAGTGCACGTGAATGAGTTTAGGCCAATCATCCTGCTTAGCACCATGGCAAATGTGGAGAAGAGAATAAAGACGGGAGGAAGAAACCCTTCAACTGCTAATGTCGGACTAAAGTCCTTGCACGGTGAAGAGAATTTGAGTTTTTGCCCTTCATGTCCCAACACAACACACCGTTAGAATTGCAAGGTGGTAAGCAATTAATTATTTCCTTCGAATTTTGACAGCTTTAAGGAGGTACATTTGGCCTCCGCTATCATATTTTGTGAAGATAAAGGCCTGAAGTTTTTTCTTTTTGTAAGTTTTAGAAGGCATACTTTTCACGATATTCGTCGTTTCTATTGCTTATAGTTTTATCCAAAATACTGATTTCCTTTAGTCATTTTAAGTTAAGATGAATTTGGTAGTACTACATGCAAAATTTACTAGATTATATTGTTTACTAGTTAATGTTGTGGAGCACCGAAGGCTTCACTATTAAATCCTTAAGATTTAGTGACTGATCAAATTGTTTGATCATGGTGACATAACTAAGGGCTGCTGAACTGAGGTCTAGTTTTTTTTTTCTTCTGTCCTTTCTGGACCTTCTGTGACTATTTTATGTGTTGTTTAAACTTTAGTAATAAATGATATACACCTTGGTTTGCTTTTGTAATGAGAAGAAATATGTTGTACGCTTCCATGTAGTATGATATTTTTCAAACTTGGACACTAGTATCGATGTTATATTTCTTAACACAGCTCAGATTTGCCTGGATTATGCTTAGGCTTTATTTTGATATTGTTAGGATTCGGTACTAAGAGGGAGGGGTGAATTAGTGCAGTGATAAAATAACATCGGTTTAAATAACTTCATATGATAAAAATTATTTCCGACGAAAAACTGTTTCGTAAAGGTAATACTTTGAAAGCGTACATAAACGTATTGAAGGCAGTAAGCTATTAAAGAGGTTTGCAGTATGTAAATGGTAGGAAGTAAATGCAAACTAGAGTTTTAGAGTGGTTCAGTCAATCTTGACCTACATCCACTTTTGGCTTCCTCCTCCGACGAGGTCACCGACGTCAACTAGAGGTCTTCCTTTAATAGGCGAAGGCCAACCACTCTTTTACAGCTTTTTCTCCTTTTGACGGGTTTAGAAGACAACCCTTACAAGCACTCACTTACTCCTTTCTCAAACTAGTCTAACACTTAGAAGAGGGAGAGAAGATCATACAAGATTTTAGTAGTGTTTCTTTCTTTTTAAACTCTTTGTGCTTATGTGCTTTAACTAGGGATGAGAGGGGTATTTATAGGCTTCAAGTTGATTCAAACTTGGAGCCTAAAATTTTTCCATCTCAGGTTCCCTGAGCACGGGCAGTACCACTACTTGCGTTGGGCGGTACCATCGCCCAGTGTCAATCGATGCTGATACTGTCCTGGGCGGTACCACCACCCAAGTCTAGTGGCACCACTGCCTGGGGGGCAGTGCTGGGCGGTACCATCGCTTGGCACCCTGCCAGGGGCGGTACAACCGCTCAGATTGGCAATACCACCGCCTTACACAGTCTCGAGGTCTGTGCCACGACGGTGAGACTCCTTGGGGCACTATTTGGGCTTCTTATTATGCCCAACACAGTTCTTACATGGGCCTAGCTGAACCCTAATTGGGTTGGCTCAAATCCAAGCCTAATTACGTGCTAACTACGAAATCCTAAGACATTTACTAAGCTAAACAAGTCCCTATGTCTATCTTCCGGCGAGCTTCCGGTGAACTTTCGACGATCTCTCGACAATGTTCCGGCGGACTCCCAACAAGCTCCTAGACTTCACGACGATCTTCTTGGCGAGTTCTGACAAGCTTCTCTGGCAAGCTTTGCGACTTCTCGGCTGGTTTCGTCAGAACTTCCGGCGAACATCCGGACTTTCGATGAACTCTCGAACTCCCAATGTGATCACGTCCTTAACTTCAGGACTTCATTTTGTTTCATGCCTTGCTATCGTAGTTAATCTTGTATATGTAAAAACATACTTCGATCTAAACAATTAATACTAAGCATTAATCAAGTTGTCCGACATGTCATTGGTCTCTCGACACTTCGTCCGATTCTTCGACGCATCATCCTCTCTTTTGGCCTATTGTCCAATCAGCCAATTGACTCCGCAACTTCGATATCCTTGGCGCAATATCCGCTTTTCTTGGCCCAATGCTCGAATCCACGACCCGAAGCCTTCTGTCGATACGTCAATCATTCCTCCGGCCCGACGTCCAATCTTCTGACATGTTTTCCCCTAGCACAACATGATTCTTTCTGCTTTAATTATCTCATCCTGATCGAAGCATCCTGCGTCACTCAAAATGCATATTAAAATATAAAGACATATCAATTGGTTTTATCATCAAAATATGAGATTCAACATATATAAACCGTCAAAACAATTTGTGGATATCAATAAAAGGAATCCGGAAATACGATTGATATAGATGACAGATTAATAGTTGTTGCAATTTTCTTTGATTAGATTAAAATTCTGAGGAACTAGAATTCTACTCGTGCATTCTAAAGCATTGCTATTTTGGAAGTATTCTTGAGGAGTTGTGGAGTTGTGTCATTGTATACTTGAATTTGTGGTTTGATAGTAATTGATTATTTTTCTTTGATTTGAATTGTATGCCATTTTCTGTATAAACCTCCTGAATTTGATGACTTGTGATGTGGTTTATGGTTACTAGACATGTGGTGGCAGCATTTGATGGATATCATTCTATTATTATTATTATTATTATTATTATTATTATTATTATTATTATTATTATTATTATTATTATTATTATTATTATTATTCAGTTTTTGCTTAATTCTGTCCTAAGTAGTGAATTCTATTACGGTTGAATTCCTCAAATTTCCACTATAATGAATTCCTCAATATTCTATTCTAATGGAATGGTATTCTCTGATAAATTTATATAAATAATTATATTAGTGTATAGTCGGCTTAGAACTTGTCACAATACGTGGCTGTGAGAGAAAATGATTATGTGAATCGAGGATGATATCGTACTCGTAACAGCTCAGATATGCCCTTTTCTTCTGCATTCCCTCTTTTCCCTCTTACCCTCAAAAGTTTACCCGATTCGGCACTTCAAGTACTGCGGCTTATGATCACGATCACGATATGGAGCGCACATCTCCCCCGCCCCACAAACGCCACTTCAGCGCCGCCAATAGCTTCTTCAACCTATCTCGGTTTACGATCACCAGTTGGAAAAGCTTGATTTCGAAACAAGGTTGTCTACTATGCTTCTCTTTATCTCATACGATATCTGTATAATTTTACGGTCTCGATCAATCATGTTGTATTAATCGAGACGATCAATGAGATAGCACGCCGCAGTCGGGCTGGGGAAACGCTACCCCAAGCTATGTGAGAAGGAAGGCACCGCTCTCGCCCCGCACACGACTCACTCTGGTTCTCGAGGTTGAAAGAAAGAAAGAGCAAGCGATCCAAGTGCTTCGGCCTCGCTAAACAGGTATTCGTCTCCCCCTTTCCGTTCCGCCTGTTCATGCCATTCTTAACAATTGATCTCTCTGGTTTCTGGATTCTTGCGCTTTGGATCGATTGTAGGGTTTCGTCACCGCATGTTTTTGGTTTCAAATTGTTCTTTTTCTTTGGTTTTTCGTCTGTTCTTCTATTTTTGAGGATGTGTTCTAAGGTTTTGCCGCGAGATTCTTGAATACATTAGTTTGTAGTATAATGTTTTTATCATCTTTAATCGAGAAAGAGGAGGATTCTTGTTTTGTAGTATAATGTCAGATTTTTAGATCTGACTTCTATATGTTGTCATCACCAGTCTCGAAAAAGTTTGGGTTTTTTTTTTTTTCAGGTTAGCGAATAAAAACAATTGAAGGACTTCGAGAAGCAATTTTTAGATCGATGTAGCAGCCAACTATTTCAGGATCAATTTTGTGCTTCGGATGGGTCTGTCTATATTCTTTGGCGTCATTTCTTTTATGGTATTTTGTTATGCTGCAACAATGTCGAAGCTTCTTCCAGAATCAGGAAATCAGATATTATTATCCATTCAAAATGACTGGTAAATATTACATATCTCGGTCCACTTGTGGTAAAAATGAGTTTAAGCAAATTGCATATTACTACTTCTGAATGGAATTAGCTTAGATAAAGTTGTCCATCATGCTTGTCCATAATATAAGCAATATCTCTATCTTTGAACTTTGGAGTTGTCACAGATATTTCTGGAATCACAACTTCACTAGGATTGATAAACACTTTATTTTGTCTTCTCAATGTTCTTCTCTTATAATCATCGGACACGTTTTTTACTTGTTGCAAATGTTTATACGAGGAAGATTACTATGATAACCGAGTCTTCAAAGGGCGAAAGTGGATCAAATGCAAATACTGGAATTGACGTTTTAGAGTGTCACATAGAATAGCTCCGGAAATAATCCAAAGTTCCATCAAGAATATATAAAAGTGTTGTTAGTGAATAAAAGTACCATGGCAGGTGAGTCAGCACGGTTTGGTCCACAGGCCGACGTCGGGAACTTCTAGTGGAATGAGTACGATGATGAGATGGCTGCGCCTCTTGAGCGTCTCGGGCGAGGGTTGGACTGACAGGGTCGGCTGAGTCCTCGCGAGTGGCTGGGGGTTGGGGCTCCGAGACCTGCCAACTTGAGTGTCGTTTGTGACGGGATGTGTCCTCTCGTCCCCGGGGTGGTTGGCAACCTTTCTTCGTGACGTGGGCGTGCCCTTGGGATGGGAGGCGCAGACTGGCGTTGGTTGGGATCCAAAACGATGGACCACCCTCTTCTGCGCACTAGATGATGACTTCGGGGTGAAGACGCCCGCTACTTGGGGGTGACCACCACCCTGCAAAACGGCCTTCGTCGGGAGCTTCCCGACTTTGGCCCCTCCGACGAGCAAGTCAGTTCGGTTCGCCCTCTTGTGTTTTTTCTCCATTTTTCCCCCTCTCGGTCGGGCATCGGATGGGAGTATTTATACCTGTGTGCGAGGGTTGGTTGCGCCTCGGTTCAGCATGGCCATTGACTTTCATGGGGGTGGGACGACTTCTCTGACGAGATGGCATCTTTGGGGGTTCTTGAGTGGCGTCAAATGGAGCTGCCCCAAGAGCAGACGGCACCGCCCCGAGCTCTCGGGGTGGTCAAGTCGCACAATATATTGGTATCGAACTTGACGTGGCGTGCACCCTGTGGTTTTGACGGCGTGTGGGGTTGCGTTGGTGGCTGACGGTGTGTGATGTTGCTGGTGATTCATCTAGGGCCAAAATATGTCCTATCACTGGTGATTCATCTAGGGCCAAAATATGCCGTATCACTTCTCCCCCCCATCGGGGCGTGCCGACAGATCCCCAACGGACCGGGAGGCATGCTTGGGGCTGAGGGACGTGATTGTACTAGGCGTCTCCTTGGGAGAGGTGGATTGACTCGTCGGGGGCGATTAGGGGGGTAGGACCCCATGATGCGGGCAGGACCGACCCTGCTAATTGAACCGTAGGGGCCTGATGAAGTGAAATCGAAGCGTCGAGGTCGTCGCGGGGTGACTTGGATAGCGGGATGCGACTCGGGCATTAAATTAGCCGCAAGGTGTGGCTTGGTCGTTGGAGTCGAGCCCGTGGGCCGAGCGATTACGTCCGGGCTCGGGTTTCGATGCCAGCGGGTCACAAACCAAGATCGATTTAGCACGCTTTGGACGGGAGCCAGATCTGGGGGCCGAGTGGGTAGATTCGACTCTGAATTGGTCCTAGGGACCGGATAAGTTCGACTCCGATTCTAGTATGGGGATCGAATTTGTGAGCTCGACTCTGAATTGAATCTGGAGACCAAGTTTGTGAGCTCGGCTCTGAATTGAGTCTATGGACCGAGTTTGTGAGCTCGACTCCGAATTAAGTCTAGGGACCGAGTTTGTGAGCTCAGCTCCGAATTGAGTCTAGGGACCGAGTTTGTGAACTCGGCTCCGAATTGAATCTGGGGATCGAGTTTGTGAGCTCGGCTTCGAATTGAGTCTGGGGACCGAGTTTGTGAGCTTGACTCCGAATTGAGTCTAGGGACCGAGTTTGTGAGCTCGGCTCTGAATTGAGTATAACGGGTCGCCAGTCGGGAGTGACCCGGAGCGACCCGGGTAGGAATCTAGCATGGGTTGCTGACGGGTCCCCAGTCGGGAGCGATCTTGCGACCCGGGGAAGGATCGAGCTTGGGTGCTGATGGGTCGCCAATCGGGAGCGATCTGGAGCGACCCAGAGAAGGATCGAGCTTGGGGTGCTGACAGGTCGCCAGTCAAGAGCAATCTGGAGCGTCTCGGGCAGGAATCGAGCACGGGTGTTGACGGGTCGCCAGTCGGGAGCGATCTGGAGCGTCCCGGGCAGGAATCAAACACGGGTGCTAACGGGTCGTCAGTCGGGAGTGATTTGGAGCATCCTAGGTAGGAATTGAGCACGGGTGCTGACGGGTCGCCAATCGGGAGTGATTTGGAGCGACCCAGGGAAGGATCGAGCTTAGGGTGTTGACGGGTCGCCAGTCAGGAGCGATTTGGAGCGACTCGAGGAAGGATCGAGCTTGGGGTGGTGAGCCATACCTGAACACCGTCTTGCCACATGACGAGCCAAGCGGAGCATCATGGGGCCTGGCGGGAGACTTTATTTTAAACGGTGCTCAGTGGGGGGTCTCGGGTGATGGGACGCCTCTGGCGGGCGAGTCTGGCGGATCCGAGGGGTTGTGACGGGTCTTAAATGTCGCGACTGTTGCTCTCCTCGGGAAGCCCTAATCGTCGCCTCGCTGTGGGTCGCGCCCATTTTATAATCCCCATCTAGGGCGGTTATCATCACTCTTGCGATCAGCCTTTCGTTTTGTGCCTCGGTTCGCTCCTCGCAACTCCGTCGTCTTCTTTGCTTCAATCCCTCGCCCCGACAACTGGGCTTCTTTCCTGCGACTCCGAGGTTGGGATGTCTCCGTCTCCGTCTTTGTCTTTGTCTTTGTTTTCGTCTGTCTTCATTTTCGTCCCCTTCTCTCACTCCTCCCTCGCCTTCCTCCTCTCCTCCTCCAAGCTCCCGGGATGAGGTAGTGAGCGTGTCCTCGGGTAGCGCCTCTACCAAGGCCTCGAGGGGTTTAGCCGAGCTTGAGGCCCTCAAGTCTTGGCACGATGTGGACTCGGTGGTGACCGAGGACTTGTTGAGAGTGCTCCGGGATCGCTACCGCATCCCGGAGTGCTACGACCTGCACGCCCCTCGTCCGGGGCAGTGGTCGTATGACCGGTTCCTCGACGGGTTCGGGCTGACTGTGGGGGCGCTTGAAGCCGGTCTGCGGTTTCTAGTGCACCCCGTCATTAGGGATTGCCTTCACTTCTGGGGGATTTCCCCATCCCAGGTGTCGCCCAACTCCTGGCGCTACCTAGTGGCTTTCATCTAGGAGTGTCGGGGGGCTAGGATTGTACCGTCTCGGTCTTTGTTTCAGGCTTGCTTCCGCTTGGGGAGGGGACCAGGCATATATTACTTGACCGCCCGCAGCGGTTTCAAGATTAGCGGTGTGCCCTCTAACAACAAAGGTTGGAAGAGGCGCTTCTTCTTCATCAATTGTGATCAAGAGTGGGGCTTCTGCATCGGGTGGGCTATTCGGTCCATCGATAATGCCCTCCCGTCGCTCTCTACTGGCGACACAGCGATGGTGGATCGTCTAAGGGGTATCTTGTCCTCTTCTCGAGTAATAAAAGAGATGACCGAGGAGTGGATGGTTGGAGCTGAGCTGAGCCTCGCCACCGGGGGTATGGCCATTCGTATATAATGGCTCATTCGTTCATCCCATGTCGTCTGACCGCTATCTATTCTTGCAAAAATAGTGGTACCTACGATCAATGAAGAAGACGACCAGCACCAGGGCCGTCAAGGCCCCGTCTCGGGACGGGGAGGGCTCCGGAGGCGGGATTGTCCCGCTGAAGGGTACGCCGAAGAGGGCGCCGACATCGCCGGCATCGGAGCACCCTCCCAAGAAAATGAAGACGGCGGTTCGAAAGACGCCAACAAGTCGAGCCACTCGCTCGAGCGCCTCCCTGGCATCGCCCGGGGTCCTTGCCCAAGGGGAGGGCGCGACGAGTAAGAAGGGGAAGGGGTCGGCCGGGTCGTCTGATAGCAACCCTTCCAAGAGGGGGCTGGCATGCCCCCTGTCGGTGCGGGAATTGTGCCACATCTTCTCCTAGCCCAAGGGTGGGCAGTTCCAAGCCCAACTTATGGCTGATCTTTCGGCCGGGGAGCCGGGAGCCCCCTACGTCGCCCGGTGGTCGACTCTGAAGGCCGATAGCTGCCCTTGGGGCGATGGGGAAATTGCCCAAGAGTTCGTCCGAGGGGCGCTGCACCCCTCGCTGGCCAAGGACCTATATTGCTCTGACTCGGAGGTGCTGGTAGAGTGGGCGGCCAAGTCGCTCATCTGGGTAAGTGATGGCCTCTCCTTCTTGCCGATTCTTTCCCTTGTGGATGCTGACAATGATTCTCATGCAGAGCCTACACTATGGAATGGCGTTGATCGATCGGGTCCTTAACGTTGGGCGGGCGATTGGGCGTCAGATGGAGCTCGACGACGCCCTCCGGAAGGTGAACTTGGAGCTGCAAGCCAAGGGGGGTCCGGAGGCAGTTGCCGCGATTGAAGAGCGCGCCATGACATTGGAGGGGGAGGTGGTTCGTTTGAAGACTGAGCTAGAAGAAAGCCGATCACACATCTGTTCGTTGGATGACGAGCTACTGACCCTCTCCCAGGACGTTGTGGTCGCCAAGGTGACGACCCAGGCTACCGAGAAGGCACTCGAGGAGGAGCGGCTGGGATTGCCTAGAAGGGTCGAGGAGGCGGTCGCCAGGTACAAAGTGTCCGTCAGGTTCGAGCGTGGCCTGGTGAGGTCGGGCCGGGTCACGTACGAGTACGGGTATTGGGTGGCCTGTGCTCGTTTTCAGGCGAAGTACGCAGACCTGGGCCTAGAGTCAGACCCGTTTATTGACAACCCGGCGGACCAGGACGTCGACATGCCGGCGAACGTTCCCTTCGATGACGGGCTGACGACTCCTCCCTTGAGCTAGGGGGTGCACCCCCTCACCTTTTGAGTTTTGTTTTCCTTCCTTTTCTTTGTCTGGTCGGGCTTGGGGCCATGTCGCCCGACCGCTATATGTACCTCTTTTATAATCGAGAAGCACTTTCATTTTAGAATTCTGGCTTGCTCTTCTCCCTGACTGTGGATGTGCGGGCTCCCACATCTTTCCTGCGCCTCGACCAGCCCCCCCTTAAGGGTAGAATTTCTTTAGGCTCGTGGCATTCCATGTTCTCGGCAGGGGATTTCCCTCCATAGTTTCGAGTCGGTAGGTTCCTTCTCATACCATGCCGTAGACTCGATAGGGGCCTTCCCAGTTGGGTGCAAGTTTTCCCCTTGCTCAGGTCGGGTTGCTTACTTCTGCTCTTCGGAGGACGAGGTCTCTGACTTGGATCGGCCGCGGACGGACCCTTCGGTTGTATATCCGAGCAGTCGCCTTCTTGTATGCTAGGGCGCGCAAGTGTGCCCTGGCTCTTCTCTCCTCAAGGAGATCCAGGTTAGCATGCAGTCCCTCCTTAGAGTGCCCTCGCTCATAGTTGGAGGTGCGTAAGATAGGGAATACCATCTCGGGCGGAAGGACCGCCTTGGTCCCGAATGCCAAGCTGAACGGAGACTCCCTCGGAGTGGTTTTGGGAGTTGTTTGCATTGCCCATAGGACGCTAGGGAGCTCGTCCACCCAGGCCCCATGCACGCCCAAGATTCTCCTCTTGAGGCCTTCAAGAATTGCTTGATTCATCACTTCGGTCTAGCCATTGGTTTGGGGGTGTGCGACCAAGCTAAACTTCAATTGGATTCCGTACGACTGGCAATAAGCATCGAAAAGCATTATGGTCAAGGGAGTATCCAATAAAAACATAAGGTTTAGATTTTTGATGTTAGCTTATGTGAGGCATAGGGACAGAGCCATGGATAACATAAATATCCAAACACTTTGAGTTTTTGAAGGTTTGTAGATTTGTGAAATAATTTTTTAAATGGTGACTCGTACTCAAGGACAGGAGTGAGAATACGATTAATGAGGTAGACGACAGCTTGAAATGTTGCAGTCCAAAAAGTTGGTGGCATAGAGACTTGGTGTAGGAGTGTGAGACCAGTTTTAACTATATGTCAATGTTTGCGTTCAGTAGAGCCGACGAGTTGAGGAGTGTGTGGAGGTGACTTGAGGTGTTATATACCACAAGCAGATAAGCAGGATGTGAGGGCTTGATATTCATCGCCACCATCGGAGTAAACAGTTTTAATTTTAGACTGAAAAAAATTCTCGACCAATCTTCGAAAGTTGGTAAAGACTGTTTAAACTTCAGATTTATGGTGAAGATGGTATAACTATGTGTATTTGGTGAAATAGTCTACAAAAATAATATAAAATCTAAATTTGTCAAAGGAAGTGATTGGAGTGGGGCCCCAAACATCAGTGTAAATAACCTTAAGGGGTTTAGAGCAAGATATGGAGGAGTTTTTAAAGGGAAGTCTATGATTTTTATTACTTAAACAAGCATCACAATGAGTTATGATGTTATTGATTGTAAGCGTAGAAAGAGAATAATGGGAAAGTAATTTTTTCTGAATAAAAGTTAAGGGATGACCAAGACGACGATGCCACACATCAGTTGGAGCTGCGACCGAAGAGTAGACATGGGCGATTTGTGGAATGGACGACCACTCGTAAATGTTGTCTTTACTCTGGCCTTGGACCAAGGGTGCCCCCGTGCTCAAATCCTTAATAGGAAAGGAGTTAGAAAAGAATTCAATTGAGGTATGATTCTGTTTGTAGAATTGAGAAACAGAAATGAGGTTTCGTTTGATGTGGGGTGCACACACAATATCATATAGCGTAAACGAAGTGCTATGTGAATTAAGAATTGTGGAACCAGTATGAGTAATGGGGAGTCCGTTACCGTCACCAATGATGATGTCTTCGTTTCTGCTATAGTTGTTGTGGATGGACAAGTTTTGTAAATCAGAGGTGATGTGATGAGATGCGCCAGAGTCCACAATCCAATTTTGATGACCAGTAGTCGGAGCAGTTGTAAGATTTACGCGAGGCCAATGCGATGGAGGAGGAAGTCTGGGTCGAGTTCTACAGACTTTTGCAGAGTGGCCAACTTTGTCACATAGTTGGCAAACAACTCTTTGTTTGTGTGATCAGGACGCTAGGGTTGAGGATAATTGAAGTAGCCGCCTTGATGGTTGTAACTGAAATATATTGAGGAGGGGAGGTTTGTTTGGAGCCCACGAGTGCAGGTATGTTGGCCAAACCTTTGTTGATAGATTTGTTATACCGGTTGCTCTTCTTCTTAGATTTTTGACTAACTTGAGCTGTGATGGATAGTCTTGGCAACTTGTCCTCACGCTTGAGATATATTTCATAGTCAGTCAACTTGTCATAGAGTTCTTCAAATGACATTAGTGAATCACGTGTGCGTATTGCTGCTGCCAATTCCTTGTACTCGTCTCTTAGGCCGTTGAGGATATGGATAGTAACTTCTTCATCACTGAGGGAATGACCTATCAAGGCCAAGTTATCGATGATAATCCTTATGTTATGTAGATAATCAGTAATAGTACTTCCCTCTTGTTTTATCGTCATGAGACTGGACAGGAGACTAAGCATGCGAGTGCAGGAACAATTGGCTAGGGTGGTTTGCAACTTGCACCAAGCTTCGGTAGTAGTGTCACATGAAGAAATGAGTAGGGCGAGAGATCCAGCGATCGAGGCTTGAATAGCTTGAAGGATGAGACGATCCTGGCGTAACCATAATTTGTGGTCTGGATTTGGTACTGGACTGGGTGCACCTGGGATGTTGAGCATCGCCGGTGGACAACGAAGAGAGCCATCGACATAGCCTAGAAGATCATAGCCAAATAGTAGATTAGAGAATTGAGCACGCCAGGATGCGTAGTTGCCACCTTTAGATAATTTGAAGGGGATGAGGATTGTTGTATTTATGGAGATAAGGCTTGTATGTGGGAAAGTACTATGGTTCCCTGCAGGAACAATAATGGGAGCATTAGAGATAGATGATGAGGACATATGGAGGACATGTACCAATATGTGGGAGCAACTAGAAGTCTGCAGTGAGACAATGATCCGGGAGGAAGAGGTGTTGGTGGCAAATGGGTTGTGGTGGCAAATGGTGGCAAATGGGTTGTGGGTTGTTGATCAATATTGACAATGATCAATATTGTGTAAAGCTGCAGATCTCTATGCAGTAGTGCTGCAATCTTTGTGCAACAGTTCTATAGTTGGGAACTTGGAAATGGTTTCGGATGTTGCTTGTCGAGGCGAAGAAGTAGAGGACAGTAGCTTGGGAGAAGAGCAGATCACTGCTGTTGCAGTTGCTGTGGCAGAGAGGGCTGTTGCGGTTGCAAGGGCTGCTGCGGCAAGGACGGCGGCAGCGGCACTTCTCGCTCGAGCGAGATACGGGAACGAGGAGGAGAGGTAGCAGCAGCCCTTGCAACTGCAACAGCCCTCTCTGCCGCAGCAACTGCAGTAGCAGTGATTTGCTCTTCTCCCAAGCTGTTGTCCTCTACTTCTTCGCCTCGACAAGTAGCATCCGAAACCATTTCCAAGTTCCCAACTATAGAACTGCTGCACAAAGATTGCAACACTACTGCACAGAGATCTGCAGCTTTACATAATATTGATCATTGTCAATATTGATCAACAACCCATAACCCATTTGCCACCATTTTCCACCACAACCCATTTGCCACCAACATCTCTTCCTCCCAGATCATTGTCTCGCTGCAGACTTCTAGTTGCTCCCACATATTAGTACATGTCCTCCATATGTCCTCATCATCTATCTCCGATGCTCCCATTACTGTTCCTGTAGGGAACCATAGTACTTTCCCACATACAGGCCTTATCTCCATAAATACAACAATCCTCATCCCCTTCAAATTATCTAATGGTGGCAACTACACATCCTGGCGTGCTCAATTCTCTAATCTACTATTTGGCTATGATCTTCTAGGCTATGTCGATGGCTCTCTTCGTTGTCCACCAGCGATGCTCAACATCCCAGGCGCACCCAGTCCAGTACCAAATCTAGACCACAAATTATGGTTATGCTAGGATCGTCTCATCCTTCAAGCTATTCAAGCCTCGGTAGCTGGATCTCTCACCCCACTCATTTCTTCACGTGACACTACTGCCGAAGCTTGGTGCAAGTTGCAAACCACCCTAGCCAATCGTTCCCGCACTCACATGCTTAGTCTCCTGTCCAGTCTCATGACGATAAAACAAGAGAGAAGTACTGTTACTGATTATCTACATAACATAAGGATTATCATTGATAACTTAGCCTTGATAGGTCATTCCCTCAGTGATAAAAAAGTTACTGTCCATATCCTCAATTGCCTAGGAGACGAGTACAAGGAATTGGTAGCAGTAATACGTGCACATGATTCACCAATGTCATTTGAAGAACTCTATGACAAGTTGACTGATTATGAGATATATCTCAAGCGTGAGGACAAGTTGTCAGGACCATCCATCACAGCTCAAGTCAGTCAATAATTTAAGAAGAAGAGCAACCAGTATAACAAATCTATCAACAAAGGTTTGGCCAGCATGCCTGCACTTGTGGGCTCCAAACAAACCTCCCCTCCTCAACATTTCAATTACAATCATCAAGGCGGCTACTTCAATTATCCTCAACCCTGGCGTCCTGATCATACAAATTAACAAAGAGTTGTCTGTCAACTATGTGACAAAGTTGGCCACTCTGCAAAAGTCTGTAGAACTCGACCCATACTTCCTCCTCCGTCGTATTGGCCTTGCGCAAATCTTACAACTACTCCGACTACTGGTCATCAAAATTGGATTGTGGACTCTGGCGCATCTCATCACATCACCTCTGATTTACAAAACTTGTCCATCCACAATGACTATGGTGGAAACGAAGACATCATCATCGGTGACAGTAACGGATTCCCCATTACTCATACTGGTTCCACAATGCTTAAATTCATATAGCACTTCGTTTACGCTAGATGATGTTTTGTGTGCACCCTACATCAAACAAAACCTCATTTCTATTTCTCAATTCTGCAAACAGAATCATACCTCAATTGAATTCTTTCCTAACTCCTTTCTTGTCAAGGATTTGAGCACGGGGGCACCCTTGGTCCGAGGACAGAGTAAAAACAACATTTACGAGTGGTCTTCCGTTCCACAAATCACCCAACCCACTGCCTACTCTTCGGTCGCAGCTCCAACTGATGTGTGGCATCGTTGTATTAGTCATCCCTCGACTTTTATTCAGCAAAAATTGCTTTCCCGTTATTCTCTTCCTACGCTTACAACCAATAACATCATAACTCATTGTGATACTTGTTTAAGTAATAAAAGTCATAGACTTCCCTTTGGAAAATCCTTCATATCTTGCTCTAAACCCCTTGAGGTTATATACACTGATGTTTGGGGCCCCGCTCCAATCACTTCCTTTGACACATTCAGATTTTATGTTATTTTAGTAGACTATTTCACCAATTACACATGGTTATACCCTCTTCACCATAAATCTGAAGTTTCAACAGTCTTTACCAACTTTCGAAGATTGGTCGAGAACTTATTTCGGTCTAAAATTAAAACTGTTTACTCTGATGGTGGCGGTGAATATCAAGCCCTCACATCCTGCCTATATGCTTGTGGTATACAACACTTCAAGTCACCTTCACACACTTCTTAACTCGTCGGCTTTGCTGAACGCAAACATTGACATATAG